CCTGCCGGCCTTTTCCATTCTGCACCATTACGTGCATAAAGACCTGAATAAAGGTCTGTTTCCTAAAGACCCAGGTCTGGGCAGGCTCAGCCAGGAGGGTGACCACGAGCTTACAAAGAGCACCCCTGTCAGAGGCCCTGCAGCTTCGAAGTGATGCCCTTGGAGTCTTCCCTCTAGCATTAGAGTCAGAAGTGGCCCTGGTGAGCTGGGACACCATGAAAATGGAGGTAAACTGTCCCAAGGCCACAGTAAGTGGCAGCTGTGTAAGCACTGCTGGAACATCTGTGGTGTGAAAAGACTCAGATATTAGCAGCCATGGCCCCCCGCTGACTCTGGGAGGTGTGTCTGCCAGCAAAGCCAAGAACAACTGAGGCCTTACTGGTCAGAGGTCTGGCGTTCAGAATTGTCAGTCTGCCCCCTGCCCCTGGGCCAACCAGGCCTCATCTGGGTGCTCATGTTTTATTTTGGATACTCCTTTTTATTTGTAACGTATCTGGGCTACATTAGAGACCATTGTTTTGAAAGACTATTTTTAAAAGTTCTAAATATAGTATTTCAACCACAGAAATGTTAGGAAAAACTGGGGCCTGTCCTTTGGAAGAGATGCCGGCAGTCCTGGGTGATAGGGGAGCAGAGGTATGAGGAACGAGAGGAGGAGGTTTGCAGAGGGAGGCTGATGGCCACCACCTTCGGAGGTCAGGGGTCTCTCTGGGGAGGAAGACAAAGGGAGCTGCCAGGTTTTGGCTCCGGCACTGCCAGGCCTAGTACCTGCCCGTTTGCACAGGTGAACTCTGACTCTTCGGCACAGCGTTACCAGGAGCAGATCAAACTCAGTGGAGTTGTAGGATGCAGAATTCCTACAAAAGCTATGCAAGAAAAAAAAATTCTATACTGGCAATGGCTAGCATCTTCTAGACCCTTCCTCTGAGCCAGGCTTTGTACTAAGGTGACACTGAGTGAACTGCCGAATGCAGAGTTCAGACCAGAGGCTGCGTGAAGTCTGTGAGCTAATTACAGATGCTCATCGCGCCTTTCCTCCGTGCCCAGCTCCTTTCGCATGGTGTCCCGTATAATCCTCATTGCCGCCCTGCGAGGCACCATTCGGGCTGGTTGTGGTTGCTCTGGAGGGAGGACATTGGCCCAGGCTACAAATGAAGTCATCGCCCATCATCGGGAGTCACCATAACCTTCATTGCCATGATCCCAGTGCCAGGCACAGCCGAACACTTTGTGTACACTGTCATTAATCTTCATAATAACTCTGTGGAGATCTGGGGATTATTGTCCCCATTTTGAGGTGGCAGACTTGAGGATTCAGTGAGCCACTGTAATACATCATACCGATTTCGTGCCAGTGACTAAGGGCTGTTCCTCAGGGTGGGCCACGAGGGGTTGCTGGGCTTGGTGAGGTTGGTATGAGCTGGACTCCTGCCTCCACGCCCGTCTTCTGGACTGGCGCCTTCATGCAGGGCTCAGACTGCTCGGCCTCAGGTGACTGTCGGCCCTGATGGATGATCAAGGCTGAGAACTTGGCAAAGCCACATAGCTGGGAAATGGTAGAGTTGGAATTTGAAGCCAGGTCTGCTGATTCCAGAGCTGGCGCTCCTCTATCAGGGCAGAAGAGAGACAACCATGTGCTCATCAGACTGTCCAGTGTGGCCTGGGCCATCCCAGGGCATGCCTTTGGAAGTGGACCCTTGGCACAGAAGACATCCCCCTAGCCAGTGGGGGAGGGTGAACTCGGTGACCCCAAAGTGCCCCTCCGCTGGTTCTCAGAGCCCATGATTCAAGTCAGTTAGCTGTCAAACCTCAAAACCTGACACCTCCTGCAGATTCTTTTCCTTTTGCTAATTTAAAATCGACTTCATCTTTCCCTCCCATCCCTCCCCCCGCCAGCCTGGGTGAAAAGGCAGGGGTGTGGATGCTGGGGGAAGCGGGGAGCACTGGCCATGTGCAGCCTCACAAACGGTCATTGTATGCTTGTGGGTGACCGAGTCCCTCGTCAGGATCCCTCTCGGGGCAGATGATCCTTTATCATCTCTCCATGCTTGCCCACGTGAGGGTCAGCAGGTTCCTGGACCTACCTCCAGCGGCTGGCGTGGCATAATAATCGCGATTGGCATAATATCACGACCGGCATAATTGCAGACACCAGATGTTTGACTTCAGTCATTGGGGACTGGGGTGCAAATGGCAAGAATTCTGTACCAGCCTTGGATTCCCTCTGGGCCAGGATGACCTTGGGTCAAGGGAGTGGCTCCCCTGGCTCTCTGGGGGAAAGAAAAGAAATCCACACCTGGCTGTCCCGCCTGGCTGTCCCCGCCTCTCCTCACCGACAGCAGCAACAGCGCTGATAGTAACAGCAACCCAGCGAGGAGGCCTCATTACTCACGCAGGAGCACCGTCGACCTCAGCCTGTGCACCTGCCGGTGCCCAGTGCTTTCCATCCCTCCCTTGGTTGAACCTTTGAGGTGGTCACGTTCCTGTTCCTATTCTGCAGATGAGCAGTATGTCTATAAGGTGGTTCTGAGCAAGAGACCTCAGGGAGGTCTCTTGGATGTCATTATTTCCTGGGCTCTTCAAGAGAGATTATACTTCTTGTAAATCTAAGCAGAGGTTCTCAACTGGGGTGATTTTTTTTTTTTCCTGCAGGGGACATTTTGGCAATGTGTGGAGACACTTGAGATGGTTACTATTTTGGAGGAGGAGAATTTGTGGCTGGTATCTTGAGGGTAGAAGTCCAGAGATGCTGCTTAATATCCTGCCGTGCACAGGACGACCACCTATAACAAAGAATTATCTGTCCCCAAATGTTAATAATATGAGGTTGAGAAAGTGATAAAAAGAGAAAAAAAAAAAAAGCTGTAGTCAACCTTTCACCCAGTTTGATACCATTAGTGTCTGCTCCAGCCCCATTGTGGTCACTTGTGCAATTTACCATCTCCTTCTGGTTCTCTTTCCACTGAACACCTGGTGGGAATGACCTTTCCTACCTTCAGTTGAGGTATGGACACATGCATGGGCCAGTGAGCTATGAGCAGAGACTACCGTGACCCGTGGGGTGGAGACCTTGCAAAGCTCTTGTAATTTGCCACATCGGTTTCCCTTTGTGTCCCCAGAAGGTGGAGCTCAGTCAGCCAAGTCCTCTCTCAGAAGGGTGGGTAGAGCTCCAGGTGGACTCACAATGGTTTGAATGAGGTATAACCTTTGTTGTTTAAACCGCTGACGTTGAGGGTTATTTGTTACCATGGCACAGCCTGTCTGATCCTCACTGATAGCCTCTAAATATTAAAAAAAAATAGGAGTTGGGCATTGGGGTTAGACGGCTGGCTGTGGATGCTGCTTATGGATGTTCTGGTACTCCAAGTCTGTGATGCCCAAGAGAGTGTGCTTCACCTTGCAGGGAGTAGAGAGATGCTGGGCAGTTTGCTTTGTAGAGGAAATTGGAAGAGAGTTTAGAGGATCAGCCAGCCCTAACTAGACCTCCCCGAGGTCCTGAGGCTTAGTGGCTTATCTAGCCATCTGCAGGTCCCCTGCTGGGATCTGACAGCTACACCCAGACCTGGCTTTGCAAGGCTGGACCACACTCACCCGCACTTACCCAGTTCAGTAAGTGGTTTTAAATCGGTTGCTGCTTTGAGGGCGAAGTCCATCTTTACCTTCCCAGGGCTTCTGGCAGCATCTGGCATGGTCATGTTTGTTGAGTCACGGGTGCAGGGACAGGGTAGAAAATGGGCCATGGCAAAGTACACCTAGGGGCCTCTGAGGGCTCTGGGGGAAGAGAGGACCTGGTGGCCAGCAGGGACACTGGAGCCACTGAGGGTGGGTAAAGAATGGGATTGGGCCTGGACGGGAAGAGAGAAGGGCAGAGCATCTCACGGTTCTGAGTTTCAGGTGTGTAGGAAGCACCCCAATCCCGAGGAGCTTGGTGAAGGAGTCCTGTGGGATGGGGTGTCCTCTCTTTAGTGAGCGCTTGGAAGAACCTCTGGACTCCCTGCCTTGGCCTGGACAGGCACTGCCCTATCTAAGCAGCACGTGCCCTGGGAGGGGCCTCATCCGGGAGGTAGGCTGAAGGCTATTGATTCTTCTCCTCTCCTCAGAGGCTTGGGTCTGGTCATTTAGTGCTAGGAGCAGCTCGCCCTGGCGCTGAGCCACAGTGTCCCCAGCAGTGCAGAGCACAGTCAGCTTGAGTCCTGCTCAGTGCCTCAGTGTTCCTGTCTATAAAATGGGTGGGACTGGGATGCTCTCCTTCCCCATGTGCTGCTGAGGTCAGCACATGGGTGAGCTTTGCCCTGTGCAGCGGGGTAGGAAGCACTTACAGGTTGGAAGGAAGGAGGGAAGGAATGAGTGACATTAATTTCCAGCCACTCAGTTCAGGCCATAGAGGAACTGTTCCCAGGCATTGGGATGAAGCCTGGGAATGACTCAGACAGCACCTGTCCAGTGGGTACGACTGGCTATGGGCAGGGGCAGTGCTAACACACACTTCAATGGGATGGTCTCTGTGACCCTGTGGGAGCTCACCTCCCTGTTCTAGGTGCTTGTAGCTTCCGGGTCAATCCTAACGGGCTGTGGGCTCCTTGATGGACCTCACTTGCCCAGCCTGGTGACCTCTCCCCCAGGGCCCCCAGGCCCATGTGTGTGCGCTTCCTGCCAGTCAGCCCCCTCCCTGCCCACTGCCCTACTTAATCCAGAGGATCAGCTCCTCATCCAGGAAGGTGCCAGTAGTCTCCGCCTCGGTTGGGTGATTCATTCAGGTGCCTGCCACAGAGAGTTGTTATTACTGCCGTCAGAGACACAGGGTGGCCAGAAGGCTAGGAGCCTTGCTCTGGAGCCAGACTCCCTGGCTGTGTGATATTGAACAAATCATTCGTCTCGCCGTGACTCAGTTACCTTATCAGTAAAAGACGGGAACCTGCCTCAGTGGGGCTGTTGTCTGGGTAAATGAGTGTATGTAGAATCTGCAGAAGGCTTACACCAGGGCCAGGTGCCATGCGATGTTAACTATTAATATTTTTATTACATTTCTCCCATTTTGTGTCAGGATTGGTGTCCCTGAGCGGTTGCCACCAGCCTTGTCTGCACCTGGTTCTTTGACATAAATAATTGATGTGTTTTCTTTCTTCCTTGAAGCACCTTCCCAGGGTGGGTCAGGTCTGGACTCTTGGCCTCAGGAAAGACCAGGCTGGCTGTATGCACAGTTGGTTTTCTTGGTCATACTCTCATTTTTTTCAGAAGGTAGATGCCTTTAAAAAGGATGCATTGCGGGGGATGGGGAGGATGCATGTCATCAACAGCATAACACTGCAAAACTAAATTGACTTTTGCCCGCCAACTAACCAAACTGTTTCTATGTGTCCTTGTGTAAGCAGATCGGCAGCTAGTAATGGATACTGAGATTAAAGAGTAGAGGCATTTGTTAATGTCACCACCCCCAACCCTCCCAAACTCTCCAAACCCCCAGATTGGAAGGCAATAGTAAATAAGTTTAAATAAGTTTGGGTTCTGGGGTGTGGTGGACTCTGGTCAGTTTGGCCGTGGCCCCTTGCTGGCTGGGCCAACTTGGGCAAATTCATGTTGCTTTGGGGGAGATGGCTCTCTGTATCTCAAAGCATGGGGATAATGCTATTCTAACTCATGATTTTGCTGCAATAATTCATACAGGTAGAGTAAGTAAAAATTCTAGCTTCCAGTTGGGCATGATGGCACATGCCTACAATCCCACATGCCTGCAATCCCAGCTAGTCGGGGACCTGAAGTAAAAGGATTGCAAGTTCAAGTCCAGCCTCAGCAACTTAGCAAGGTTGTATCTCAAAATAAAAGAGAACGAGGATGTAGTTCAGTGGTAGAGTGTCAGCCCAGCGTGTGTGGGGCTCTGGATTCAATCCCCAGTAATTAAAAGAAAAAAAATTAACTTGGGATGGCTGTTTAACAAAGTTTACTTTTTTGTTTTTTTTTTCCAATGTTTTTAGTTGTAGCTGGACACAATACCTTTATTTGTTTATTTGTATGTGGGGCTGAGGATCGAACCCAGGGCCTCATACGTGTGAGGCAAGTTGCTTGACCACTGAGCCCCAGCCCCAGCCCCAAAGTGTGCTTTTTACTAGTCTTAAGTGTTCACTGTGACGTTTTAAATGACTACTTGAGACTCTGCTGTCTACATACAACTGAATTTATCTAACCGGTGTCTGTGATTTGGACATTTCGATTATTTCCACTCCTCTCCCCTCTGAGCATCACTCTGGAGGGAGCATCTTGGGAACCAATGACTGTGAGTCCCCCAGAGTGAAGCCCTTGGCGTCACTTGGTGTGCCCAGGTAAGAGGTGACCCAGAGGCCTGCTCAGGGTTAGCCTTCATCCCCCTCCTTCCCCCCCTGCACCCACTGGGATCCCCAGGCTGTGTTGTTCTCTTTTCTGGTCTGGGTACTGGTTCAGTTCCCTGGGGGCACGGGGCTTTGGGCTCTGCAGATGTCATGGAAACCCCCCAGCCCTGCCTAGCCCTGAGGAGGGAGGAGGAGAAGGCTTTTTCATAGCCAGACACACAGATATTTCCTGTCAGCCCCAGCTGTCTGAGAAATCAGCCCCTTTGGGAATTCAAAAGAGGAGCCCTACCTCTTTTGAGGTTTCAGAAAATGTGAACAAGAGCAGGTACATGGATTTATACACGGATTTTGTGTATTTTATTCAATTGTAGGTCAATGATATTTTGAGTATGTTTGTTTAACTAAAATATGTCATTAAAATTAACATTATCATTAGTTATTTCAGCTTGTAATACAGCTACTAGAAAATGGAAAATTCCATAGGGGCTTCCATTATACTTTTTCTTTCTTTCTTTTATTTACTTTTTTTTTTGGTACCAGGGATTGAATCCAGGGGTTTTTAACCACTGAGCCTCATCCTAGCCCTTTTTATATTTTATTTTGAGACAGGGTCTCACTGAGTTGTTGAGGTTCTTGCTAAGTTGTGGAGGCTGGTTTTGAACTTACAATCCTCCTGCCTTAGCCTCCCAAGTTTCTGGGTTAACAGGCATGAGCCACGGTACCCAGCTCTGTTACACTTTTCCCAGACGGTCCTGTTCTAGAGGGTGTGGACTGGCTGTTGCTGTCCTGCCCTATGGAGAAAGGAGTTTGGCTTAGAGAGGGGAGAAGTGAAACCCACCTGGGCATTCCCAGCTCCTCCTGCCCGGGGTCCTCCTGCTCCCAGACCTGCCACCCGGGTTAAGAAGGAGCAAGCGCCTGGGTCACAGTGTCTGCTGAGGCAGCCACCTGGTGCTACCTCTGGGTGTTAGGAACAGGAATTCTCTCCCAGTGGGGTGGCTGGGTGAGGGCGGACTTTGGGAGCATAGCCATGGTCTTGAGGGTGTCATACTGGACAGAAGACGTAATGAGCCTTGGCTGGAATCCTGGCTCTGGGCAGTTAGAGTAATAGTGCTCTCAGTTGGGTGCCTGTGGCCTGCCAAGCCCTGTGCTGGGCACTCTGTCCTCCCCCCTGAGCCTTCCCATCAGGCCAGGAGGCACCGTGGCACTCATGTTGAGGATCACTGAGGTCCTAGGTGGTGACAGACTGGCGTGGAGTCCTGCTGTTCCGTAGTGGACACCCTGTGTGATGCAAGATCCTGCTCTTTGCTCCACACCATTCCTCTCTGAGACCAGCCTCCTCTTTCCTTCCAACCCCCACTTCCTTGTGAAAACAAGCAGGCTGGACCTCTGCTCACAGGTGTGGAGCAAGGGCAGGGCCAGCCACCACCTCAGATTTCAGGTACCTGCCCTGCAGAGGGGACAGGTTCACTAGTGTCCACAGGCCTCTCTGCTGTGGTTCACCAGGTTTAGAACTGAATTTTTCCCAGACCCACAGAGAAGCCACGTCCCAAGAGTCTGGGCAGCCAGTCCTGAGCCCCCTCTGCAGAGGGAGGGGGGGAGGCCTTGTTTCTTACGTCTCAGGCATTTTCCTACCACCTGCTTTCTGCACCAAGTTTAAAAGCACCGACAAATATTTGTTAGAGACCAGAGGCCTCCATGATGCGGTGTGTGTTGGGGGAGGAGGGACAGACCTAGCCTTGGACTCACTTCATTATCCAGGGTCCTCAGATGGGGCAGATTTGGCTTCCAGTAGTGGAGGTTGTTGTGGTATCCTGATTTGGGGGCTTGAGGACAGTACCCCCAGGACCAGCTCGTCTCCCTGTCCTTCCTCTTGGTATCCTGGGGAGTTGGGCAGTCTCTGCCTGCACATATCACCTGGCCCATTGCTCACAGCTTGAGGCTGCCTGAGATGACCTCTGTGGATTTCCGGTTCCCAGCTGACTTCCAGTCCTGCCTCCTGATGGCTGTCTCCAGGACCTCTGGCAAGTCTCTCTGTCTCCCCGGGCCTCACTTTTCCCCATCTGTAAAAGGGGAGTCATTGGTGAGATCAAACACACCCCAAAGAGTTACAAGGTCTAAGAGCACATGGAAGGGCTTGGTCACCAGGAAAACGTATGGCACCGGTGGGAGTGGTCATCTCACCTAGTTCCATGGACACTTGTTAGACATGGAAAGACAGTGTTAAGGCTGGAGAAGTTCCAGCCCTAATGCTGCATAGCTCAGTGGCCTTAGTTAAGGTAACTTAGGGGACACAGCCTCTCCAAGTCTCAGTGTCCTCGAATGTAAAATAGGCTTGTTGAGATGATTTGACTGAGATGTAAGTGCCTGGTCTGGTCATAGCAGATGCTCAGTCACCACCTTGTTTTTCTGAATGTCTGGGTGGGGGTGTGATGGAGAGGTGGCTTCTCTGGTGTGGTTTTATAGTGTACGGATTTCCTGGCTCACACATTTATATCCTCCTCTGAGCATCCTGTAGTGACCCTCCAGGCATGCTTCTGCAGTGTCCAGAGCTGCTAACCATGACAACGCACACAGAGGGCCTACATGTCCCTCAGTGCTCTCTGGCATCTCAAGAGCAGATAGCATGGTTGTTGTCCCTGTCTTAGAAGACAAAAGTCTCAGGAAGTGGGGACAAGCATCACCGTGCTCACACAGCTCTTGGTGAGCATACACCATGTCGAAATGATAAAAATACACTTGATGTCAACCTCCTTTGTTGTTTACTCTTACTCAATTAAACAAAGCTGGGCACAGTGGCTCATGCTGGTGATCCCAGCTACCTGGGAGGCTGGGGCAGGAGAACTGCAAGTTCGAGGCCAGCCTCAGCAACTTAGCAAGGCCCTAAGCAACTTGGATCCTGTCTCAAAATAAAACGGGCTGAGGAGGTGGCTCTGTGGTTATGTGCCCCTGGGTTCAATCCCTGGTACCAAATATAAATAAATAAAAATTAAAAAACCAGAAGTGAGGTCAGAGATTGGAGTCCATTTTTCTCTGGCGGAATGGTTGCCTGTGAAGAGGTAGACCAAGAAACATGTTGGGACTACTAATTGGGGCTGGCCACCTCTGGGGAGTCACATGGGTGTGGGATCGTCCTGCCATCTCAGAGCCAGAGAGGACCTCTCATCTCTCGCCCCTAGAGTGAGTGCTTTGAACATTCTGGGCAGCAGCAGGGCAGTGGAGTCCTGCCTGCAGGAGGGAGGGGAGAGGAGGCTGGGTACTGAGGCCACCAGCACTCCACCAGGAAGAAGCCCAGCACCCATTCATAGGCACTCGGGGTCCAGACCTGAGACAGGGAGGGTCACAGCTTGCCCTCTGGAGCCGACAGACACCCTTGTGAAGGGCTTGGGGATAGTTGGGCCATGATTCCTGCAGAACCCCAGGGTGGGTTGCGGTCAGGGTGCATGCTCCTGGGCCAGCTCCTGGATTGGCTGTGGCTCACAGAGGTATCTCCATGGAGACAATGATTTAAAACTGGCATGGTCAGCCATAGCTTCGGACAGGGAGGGGTCCTGAGGCGGGGTCCTGAGGCAGGGTCCTGCACCCCAGGGAGAGGCATCCCCCTGTGAGGACTCGTGAATTCCCTCCCTCTGACCAGTAAGGCCATTGCTGTGGTTATGGCAAGGATCCAGGTTGGTTTCCTGATGCCACTGAAAATGGGAGTTCTTCAAACTGGTTTTTGATGTCAGATAAGGACAGGCTTCCTGAGCCAACAGATACCCAAGCGCCAGCCTGCTACCCGGGGGGAATGCACTGGGGACCTCCGAGGCTAACAGAGCCCGCCATAACACGACACCGGGGCTTTCTGCGGTTGGAAGCAGTCTCGTGTGCATTAAGTTAGCTTGAGTCCCCTCTTGGGGCTGGAAGTGGGCCAGATCTGGGCCCCTCATGTCCCTGCTCTGAAGTCCTCACTGCTGCCTGGGTGCCGGCCCTTGCTCTGTGGACGCCAGCAGGACTTACCCCACTTTCTCCTTGAAGCAGCTAGTCGATGGAGACATGTGAGTGTCCCAAACTGTTCTCTTCCTTTCAGAGCTCGTAATTCTGATCCAGGGACAGATGGTGTCTGTGAAGCCCCTAGGGAAGCTTTGATGTATTCCTTAGATCACCTCTGAGCTCCTCTTGGGGATACGCCCCTTTTCCAGGTGTGTGTGTGGAGGGTGGGATTCGAGTGCTGGAGCTTGTGGGCTACTCATGTTCGGCCTCTGTACCTGTGAGTGAGAATGCAGCCGGGCGCCCCGGAGGGGTCCTAAGGTAGCTGAAGATTCGGGCTCACTTCAGTTGTACTGCGTCCCCGCCGTGGGCTGGGTTGTACCCAGACATCATTCCTTTTCCATTTTATTTTTAACTGTTGATGTTGTAAAATATAACACAGATTCAGGAAAGTATGCAAGACATGAACGTAGCTCTGTGAATTACCACCAAGGGAGAACCCTGTAACCACTGTCCATTAAGAGTCGGACCCTGCCAGCTCCGCGCCAGTCTTCCTGATTGTCAGTCACTGCCAAGAGGAACTTTAGCCTCTTTGGGAATCACTGCCTTGCTTCCCCAAACACTGGGATTTAGTTTTGCCTGTGTTCTGGGCTTTTGTAAGAGAATCATACAGATAGATGTGTATGTGTTTGGCTTCTTTTGCTCAATATTGCCTGTGAAACCCATGCATCTTTCTTTTTAGCTTTTTTTGGTACCAGAGATTGAACCCAGGGGACACTTAATCACTGAGCCACACCCCAGACCCTCCCTCCCTCCCTCCCTCCCTTCCTTTCTTCCTTCCTTTCTCTCTTTCTCTCTTTCTTTCTTAAGATATTTTATTTAGAGAAGGCCCTCACTAAATTGCTGAGACTGGCTTTGAACTTGCGATCTTCCTGCCTCAGCCTGCCTCCTGAGCCACAGGGATCACAGGTGTGCACCACCACCCCGGGCTTTCTGTGCATCTTTCTTGCACATCCTTGCATTTGTTCATTTTTACTGCAGTGTATTATTTTAGTGAATGATTGGCACACTTTTTACATCTGTTCTCTTGAAGACTATTGGGTTTGTTTACAGTTTGGGGGTTTTACCAAAGATTGCTGCTGTGGTCCTTGTTGGACGCGGTTCTCGGTGAACTTGCCTCTGTGCGCACGCGCATGCGCACTCTTGCACACTTTCTGCTGGGAGCAGGTGGCAGTGGAGTCGCTGCATCTCATTCCGTCCTCACATCAGCCTGTGAGCAGGTGGGGAGGGGAGGCGGAGCTGAGGGGTGTCTGTGAAGCCCCTAGGGAAGCTTTGATGTATTCCTTAGATCACCTCTGAGCTCCTCTTGGGGATACGCCCCTTTTCCAGGTGTGTGTGTCGGGGGTGGGATTCGAGTGCTGGAGCTTGTGGGCTGCTCATGTTCGGCCTCTGCAGGTGGCTCGGGTGCGGTGTGGGACAGGTGGGAGAGGCTGGTGAGGAGGCTGCAGGGCTGAATGGGAACACGACCTGTCTATATAGTCTTCCAGAGTGGACCTGGGAGCCCCGACCCTTTAAGCCATGGTGTCTGCCTGCAGGGTTCCCTCCCCGTGGCCCTGGCGCCCTTCCAGCGCATCTAGTGGAGAGTGATCAGGGAGGCCCGGGCCTCAGCCGAGTCTCCTGGCTGCTGCTTGCGGGGCAGCTCAGCTCAGCTCCTAATGTGTTTTCATAATCAAAGCAGAAAGGCCCCATTGTGGCACTCACGCCCTGGCCATAAAGCACTTTTTGTTTCCTAGCAAAATTCCAAGTTGCAGAAGCAAGTCAGCTTAGCAGAGACACAATACCAGCTAATGGCCGTTTGCCACTTGCAACAACCAGGCAGGCTCCCGGTAAATAACAGTTAGCCAGCCTGTGTTTATTGGGGCACCCCAAAACACACACAAAAACACTTTGCAGACTACCTGCAACGTCAGAGTAAGATATTGGGAGTGGTGTTTATCACCCTGGAATTATAATCTGATATTAATGTGTCAGGGTTCATTTGGCTCCATATTTCAGAAATTTGAATCACACTGGGTTAAACAAGGGCTTCTTTTTCTCATGAAACAAGAAGCCCAGAGGTAGGCATTCCTCGGGCTCCGTGGGGCCTTCTTTTGCTTTCTCAACCTCAGCACACAGCCTCCTGCTCTCAAATGGCTGCTTCATCTCTAGACTTCACATCTGCATTCCAGGTGGGATGTTTAGGCTTTTGCCAACTGCCTATTATCCATTTTAATGAGGAAAACTAACTTCCTGGAAGTACCAAAGCATAGGCTTCCCTTTACATCTCATTATCTCAAACTGGATCACGTGGCAACCACTGGAGCCTAGGAACCGAGCCCATTGTTACCTGAACAAAATCAGGACTCCCCAGAGTTAGGGAAGCAGGGGAGAGTGGACACAAGAAGGCAGCCAGCCGACACGGGGCAGGTGTCACGGTTCACTGAATAAAACTGACAAGGGAACAAGATGCTTCCCAGAAAATTATATATTTCCTTGGTAACGGAACATTATTCCTGTAAGCACCAAAATACCTTTTAATCATTGGGATCGGTTCAAGAAGGCTCATGTATTTTCTTCTGAATAAATTTAATGACTCCCCCCACCCCCACCTGGTGGCTGGGCAGCTCTGCGCACTCTGTTGAAGGTGGTTTGTGTGGTTACTTCTGCCCCAGAACCTGGGGTCTGCTCTATAGTTTCCCTAACTTCTTTCATTGTTGGGCTGGGTCTTGGGGCTTCTAGAGTTTTGGGGTAGGAGGGGGCAGGTAATCAAATGTGATGGACATGCCTGGGGCTGGGGTGGGCAAGGCTTGGGTAAAAGCATAAAGGGCGTCCATCCGGTAGGGAACCTTCTTGAGTAGGCTGCTTTATCAACTTCCGAACATTCAACCCCTTTGGTTTACCAGATAAGAGAATTAATTTCTTATTATATCATAGGATATATTTAAATGCAGGGAGAGTTTCCTTTTGTATACTCTAATTAAGGGGATGCTGGACAATTTTTTTTTTTTTTGGTACTGGGGATTGAATCCAGGGGTGTTCTACTACGGAGCTACATCTCCAGCCCTTTGTATTATATTTTTAATTTTGAGACAGAGTCTGGCTAAGTTGCGGAGGCTGGCCTCCAACTTGCCATCCTTCTGCCTCAGCCTCCTGAGCCACTGGGATTGCAGGTGTGTGCCACCGTGCCTAGTGGGACAGTTGGTTTTTGCATGGCTGACTTCATGCTGATTTTCCCACCACCCCTTGAAATAACTCCCACTTTCCCCTCAGTGGGGATTTCCATTACCAGAGGAAAGCCCCACTTGATAAGCACAACATCTAGAAAACCTGGTTCTATCTCATTGAGGCCTACCCCATCCAGGCAGTGGCCAAAGGAGAAAATCAAGAAAAGGTAGCTGTGTGACTCTGGGCAAGTTCCCTGACCTCTGTGTCTATTTCCTTATCTGTGAACCGGGGAGAATAAGGATTACCTTGTGGCCATTGTGGTCACTGAAAGACGCAACTGGGAACCAGTTAGTGAGTGAAGTGGCGCCTTGCAGATAGTAAGTGCTCAGTAAAAGCCGCCATAGGCCTTCACGGTAGGGGTGTCTGATGGATGGCGCTGACCTGGGAAGGCATCTGGAATGAGGCCAATCTGAGCCATATTTACCTGATGACAGAGGTAAATCTATTGTTGGGACAACATGGGAGCAGATGTCCCACTGGGCCGTTTCCCTGTTCCCTTTCCATGATAGTCCACAGTGGAGTTCCCCTCCCCCACCTTCTTCCTCCCTTCTGTACTTCTCGCTTCTGATTATCAACTTATAATATGTTCATCAGGACAATTTTGAAAAGCAAATTCATAAAAGAGAATTCAGACATCAATCTTACAATAACACATGCGCAGAGAGACCAGGTGGGGGCCAGCAGAGGACCCCCCCTCTGTGCCCCAGCTTCAGCAACTTGGTGAGACCCTAAGCAATGCAGCAAGACCCTGTCTCAAACAAAACAAAACAAAACAGGATGAGGCACTGGCCCTTAGCAGTCTCAGACAGGGTCTCAAGCTCATTGAGGGAAAAAATGTTTAAAACCAGCTGAGCTGGGCGGGTTGGTGCGCACCCGGGGTCCCAGGCATTCAGGAGGCCAAGGGAGGCAAGACGGGACATTGCTGGAGCCAGGAGTTTGAGACCAGCCTGGTGACCCAGGGAGACTGAGGCCTGAGTCTTAAAAACAAACAAACCAAAGCAGCTAGTGCAGAGGGTTGTTGGGGATGCTTGTGTTGAAATCTACTGGCCCCTAGGGGAGCCTGGGGGAGGGGCTGGGGCTGGGGCTGGGGCTGGGTGCTGGGCAGCAGGGCTTCAGGGCGAGGGCGTTCCAAGCAGAGGTGTCGAGGAGCCTGGGTGGATTAGGTTAGCAGCAAGATGAGGCAAGAGCTGCACCTTCCCATTCCCCAAACCATTTAATACTGGGTGGGGGAGCTGCACTTGAGAAATTTGGCATTGAACTTTAATATACTTAAAGGAAAAGGAGGGGCGGTGCTTGTTGGAAAGCACACGTAGGTTTCTTTCTGGAGAATTAAAGATTTCCTCCTGAATCATCGTAGAGTTAGTTGCTTTTAATTGGCCTTTGTAGTAGTCTCCCCTCCTGCTGGGGACCCAAGCCTGCCTGTGCCAGGTCCTCAAGATCTGTTGGGGGATTGGGGGGGTGGCCATCTACATATAGTTGTTGTTCTTTGCTGATGGGTTCTGTTTGAAGGCAGAAGTGAGAGAGAGAGTTCTTCCCTGACTCGCCTGCAATCCCAGCAGCTCAGGAAGCCGAGGCAGGAGGGTTGCAAGTTCAAGATCAGCTTCAGCAACTTGGTGAGACCCTAAGCAACACAGCAAGACCCTGTCTCAAAAAAAAAACCACACAAAAAAACAAACAAAAAACATAAAAGAGTTGGGGATGGGGCTCAGGGGTTAGTGCTCTGGATTCAATCCCTGGTACCAATAAAAAGCTCCAGTCTACATAATGCTGGGAAAGTTCCACATCCAATTGTCTACTGCAGTGGAAAAAAGGGAGAGTCCTTTAAGGGAACTGAACCATCCCAGGCTGGGTTCTGTGGTAGGACACATGATCTGTAGCCTATGAACGTAGTCCGATAGCGTGAGGCAGTTGGGGCTCAGATGTGGCATGATTTGTCCAGGGTCATGTGGTCTAGAAGTGGCAATGGCTTACTTGACCCTCAAGCCCTGGCCCTTTTGCTCACTCACTGAGCTGCAAGGTCACTTCTGGGCCTTGCAAGCTGCTGCTGCTGCTGATAGTGGTGGTGAGGTTTATGCCTGACCAGAGTCTCCCCCAATTAGCAGCTTGTAGTCGTCAGCTCTGGCTGTGGTTCTCCTGTAGAGAGGGAGGTTTTGTTTTATCACAATTGTAAGTCACCTGGATGGCACCACCCCTTAGCATTCCCAGAGAGCAGGAATCCGGGAACCACTGCCCTTCCCCTGGCCTTGGGTTCCCATTCTCCAGATGCAGGTCCAGGCCTGTGCTGTGGGCCGGGGCGCAGCACTGGGGCAGGATCAGCCACACCTCTCTGACTTCCAGAGGCATGCAGACAGAAAGCCCTTGTAAGGTCGCTGAGTTCAATAGCCCTTCTCCACATACCCATTTTACAGCCGAGGAAACTGAGTCTCCTTCTACCCTAAGCGTTTGGTGAGCCTGTGGTGTTCGCACATTTCCTCTTTGACTTGCCCGCGGAGGGTTTGATGCCAAGAACAAGGGACCATGGTGAGGGTCAGTCAGTCTGCCCCTCTGCAGAGTTGCAGGGCTTCGGCTTCTCCCTAAATGTCCCCACACAATCTGGCCTCAGATGTCACCCGTAGACCCTGCGTGTGAACATTTAGTAGTGTCGGGTTGTAGGAGAATTTTTGTTTTTTCAAGTGCTGGGGATGGAACCCAGGCCTCCGGCATGCTAGGTGAGCGATCTGGCACTGAGCTACACCCCCAGCCCGTGTGTGTGTGTGTGTGTGTGTGTGTGTGTGTGTGTGTGTGTGTGTGTGTAGGGGGCTAGGGGTTTTCCATGGTTAAAATCAAACAGAAAGCAAGGAGCTGTAGTAAGCTTTAGGATCCCTTGAACTCTAAACCTGGGTGGGGGTGGCTGCAGCCAGGAGGGACCCAAAGTCAAGGACCAGAGGAAAGTCCAGCTCAGGCTTTGAATCTATTATTTCCAAAGGGCTTGGAACGCACAGGAAGGGCTGTGGGCGCTAGGGTGTTTGTTAGATAAAATGAAAATAAATAAATAAGTAAAATGCTAATAATGCCACTGGCCCCAAAGTCTCCTGTCCCTGCTGGCTTCCCCCCTCCACTGTGCACCCACCTCAGGGCATCACAGTAGAGCTTTGTTCTTCTGCCTGCCTCTTTGTCCAAACAAGTGACCAGTTCCTGCTGTCCTCCTTTCCCAAGGGAGGGCCGCCCTGTCTGGTGGCTGGGAGGGGACCCAGCCTGCGCCCTGTGAGTACCCAGTTTCTAATGAGCAAATCCAGTGAGTTACCCCTGCCCCCTTGATTGGCTGTGGGCAGGTGGACCCCGTGAACTTCCAGCGTAGGATCCCCATTTGCCTGACTTCTTGACTGGAGTCTTCCTTAAGCCCTTGCATCCCTGGGAAAAAGAGAATAAGT